GGTCAGTGGCCCGTGTGTGCCCCTCAGAGCCACGAGGGCCGCTCGGGCCCCTCCAGGCTGCCCCTGCCCGGCTGGGGCAGGAGGCGCTGGCAGTGGGGCGGGAGCCAAGGGGCGAGCCCCTGGAGGAGCTCAGCAGCCTCGGAGGCCATCAGCTCTCACCCCAGCTCTGCGGGGCCGCCATCGCTGCCCCGAGCCTGGGGCCCGGGAGCCTGGCAGCGCGTTTGCAGGCCCTTTCTGCTTTGTGTTAAATGAAACCAAGCCCGTGTCGGCCAGGACCTTTGCCTGCCCATCCCGTCTGCACGGTGGGGGCAGATTTGCCCCATGGCCCGTGCATGCCGGGAGCTGGGGGTTCCCAGGGCTGGGCACAGCCGTGCAAGGGGGCTGCGACGTGCCAGACGTTGCTCGCTGCTCCGTCTGGGGAACCCCCGGCTGCTCCTGGCCATCGCAGCAGGACCGCGTTTGCTACCGTGCGGTGACCTGGGATCCAGAGCCCAGTGCCCGGGGCCGTCAGCCGGATGTCACGGGGGAGTCGCACGCGCCACACTCGTGCTCGGTCACCTGCTCCTATGAGGTGCCAGGAGGCAGCTCGGGGATGAACCAGGCTGTGCCGGGGAAGGGAGCGAGGGACACGGCAGGGCAAGGTGCTCCTCGTCCTCCCCCTGGCTGGGCCCTAAATACACCCCCGGGTGCAGCAGATTCTCCTGCCGGGCCCGTGTCCATGTCCGTGCTCACGCTCCTCGCGTGCCTCCAGAGTGGATCGAGCCACACGCAGGCTGCAAGAGCCGCCCCGTGTTCAGGACCGCTGTGGGGAGCGGAGGGGAAAGGGCCTGGAGAGGCTGCATCGTGCCCCGGGGGGCAGGTTGGACAAATCTTCCCCCCAGACGGGGTCAGTCTGGAGACAAGAGCTCCAACCCCCTCCACCAGCATGTGGACTGGGAGCCTCCAGTAGGGGCTGCTGGGGGCCCATGCCCAGGCTTAATGGCAAACCCCACATTTTCTCCAGGGTCTTGGTCCCCCGTGTCCTCCCGTTTGTGGGCTCGCAAAGACCCCTGTGCAGAACTGAGCTCAACCTGGTCCTTCCGGGTGCCACGGCCCCTCGCCAAGCTCTGCCAGGAAACAGAGGTTGAAAATCAGATGAAAAAGAGCCCCAAGGACAGTCCAGGGCTGGGATGGCTGCCCAGGGGGGCAGGATTCACCCTGGGGTGCTGCGTGATGGGAGACCTCAGACCCAGGCCATGGGGGATGCTCCGTCTCCGGCTGCCCTGGCATCCCCAGGCTGGACCATGCGGGGAGATGCTGTGGCCAAACCAAGCCATTGAGCTGCACCCAGGGGAGGGGGGCAAGACCAGTCCCCAGACACTGCCGGCAAAGGGGAGCAGCTGGGGACTGTCCCGGGCCTGGGCTCTGCAGGCGACCTGACCGCCCTGGCTGCAGGGAAGCCCGTGGGGGTGCTGGGGCTGGCCCTGGGGGTCCCCAGCCTGCCCCACTGCGGTGTGAACTGAGCCCCTGTCCAGGATCGGGCCCATACCTTGGTTAGGGCAGGGGCAGCGCGTGGTCCCTGCTGCAGCTGGGTCACGTCACTGCTTTCCCCCAGCCCCTGGGCCTGGCCTTCCCTGCTCTCACGGCTCCTTGAATCTGGCCCAGAGCATCCCCTAGTGCTGCTCTGACGGTCCAGACACAGGGAGGGCTTGGCCGAGGCGGGCCTCCTGTCCAGGCTGCTGCCGAGTGGACTGGAAACCTTTCCCAATCCAGCAAGGAGGCTTATTTAAAGGATGTCAGAGCTGCCACAGACTGGGGCAGACCCAGGTCCATCCTGCCCAGTCCTCCGTGTCCCACGGGGCAGGGCAGGGAGCAGAGCTGCAGGGAGAGTGATGGGGGCCGAGCAGGGTTTTCCCCTGTTCCTCTCCCCCTGCAGCCCCCAGCACTGAGGTCCAGGCAGGGCTGGTGCAGAGGACGTGCCCCGCGCTCCCTGCTCCAGAGCCACCGATGCCCCTTTCCTCCACGCACGTGTCCAAGCCCTTTCTCCCAAGGAAGGAAAGCAGAGCCCAGCAGGCCCTGGAGCAAACTCCACCCCAGCCAGCGCGGGGGCCAGGCATTTCTACCCCCCACCAGTCCCTGGAGCGGGGGGTGACATTGCTGCGAGCTGCTGGGGCTCTCAGCGCCTGCCCCAGCCAGAGAGCCCTTCTCTGGAGGTGCTATGGGCTCTGCTTCTGGGAAAGGTGCGTTCCACCATGCCTGGCACACACGTGTCCACTTTCTTTCCGGGTACACGCATGTTCTCACACATGTTCACTCTCCTTTGGGGGCTCCATGCTTGTCCATAAGCGCTGCCTTCATGCTTGTGTGTAACAGCCATGTGAGCAGGAGAGCCATGTGTTCATGCGTGTGTGTGTCATGGCTCCGTACATATTGGCCATGTGTGTGCAGGTGCACGAGGGCTGTGCGTGTGCATGTGAGGGCTTTACGTACACTGATGTGTGTAAGCAGGCAAGTCACATGTGTGCTGGCACGTGCATGTAGGTCTGTGTGTGCACCAGTGTGTGTAAAGGAGGGCTGCATCTGTGTACCAGTGTGTGCTGGTGCGTGTGTATAAAAGAGCTGTATGTGTGCTGGAGGGTATGCACAAGGGCCATGCATGTGTTGTGTGTGTAGGAGGGCTCTGTGTGCACCAGCGTGTGTGATGGCGTGTATAGGAGAGCTGGTGGGTGTGCTGCGATGTGTGTGCATGTGCGGCTGGCGCAGGGAATCATCCGTCCTCGCCGGGAACTGGACAAAGACCCCAGTGCTTGAGCCAAGAGCTGCGGCAGCCCTCCTGGGCCCTGCAAACCCGGCCTGGCTGGGCAGGAGCACCTGCCCCGGAAGCAGCTGCATCTGGGTAGGGCAATGCCTCTGCTACAGGCTTGCTGGACAACCTTGGCCACATCCCTTCATCTCTCTGGGCCTGTTTCCCCCTTGGCTTGTTCGCTGCACAGACCAGTGTTCCCATGGGCCAGATTCCCCAGATCCCCAGCCCAGGGCAAGGCGAGGGCTGCTGGGACCATAGTGCCTGCGCCTGCCCCATGGGGAGCCGGCCATGCTGGGCAAACACAAAGGAGCAGGAAGCGCCCAGGAAACAGGCATCACACCGGGGTCACTGCATCCAGGTCATAAGTGCCCCTCCCGACTTCACCACCCAGGGTACTTCCTCCTGCCGTGACTCAGTCTGCCCACCTACACAATGGGGTCAGTGACACGTACCTGCCAGGCTGGCCCAAATGAGGGTGAGGAGGGCCAGTCCCCAGAGGCTCAGGTCAGGAGTGGGTGGCACAGCCTAACTGCTATTTACCTGGCAGGAAGCAGAGGCAGCGGGCAGGGGAGGCTGCAGCTTTGGCTCAGGCACACGGGGCTAGATGCCTGGAGGCACTGAGTGCCCTCCACCCTGTGGCTGTGGACCCTCTCCTCGACCAGTGATGGAGAGGCCCCCCTTCCCTCCCTGCTCCCTGTTCTCCAAGCAGCTGGCCCCCAGCGTGTTCTCCAGCCCCACGTTCAGCAGAGCCAGGCACATCCCATCACAGGCAGGCATGCCGGGCGCGGAGCGGCACCTGAACAGGAGCCAGCAGCCCCTGGGCTGCACGAACAGCGGGGTCTCCTGCATATCCAGGGTGGCAATTCCCAGCTCGGTCCAGGCCCGGGGAGGCCTCCCGTGAGGCCTGGGTCTGGGCTGGGCCCTGCTCGTCACCGACATGGAGAGGGTGCAGAGTCCAGAGCAGGGAGGCAAAAAGGATCAGTGGCCTGGGAGACACGACTGATGAGGACAGGCTGGAAGAGCCGGGGTATTTCGCCTGGGGAAGAGAAGCCCAGGGGGTGGGATTTGAGGGTCCTGGCTGGAGGGTCTTGCCCCCGCGCTCAGGCTCAGCCCCACACTGCACTGGGCAGGAAGGGATTTCCCCCCTGCTCAGACTGGTTTGCACTGGGGGGATTTGCCTTCCTCTGCAGCGGGGGCACGGCCTATGGAGAAGCTGCCCAGGAACCTCAGGGGAACAACAGCCTGGAGCCAGAGCCTGGCAAGCAGCAGCCCAGGAGGGGGGTGGGGGGACAAGCAAAGGGGGTGCAGCGAGGGCAGGACGGGCCCCTCTGCCAGTGGGAGCAGGCCTGGGCAGGCGAGGGACTGCTCCATGCCCAGCCCCTGGCTCCATCACCCCCAGGCATGGAGCAAAGGGTGGATGTGGAGGGCCTGGAGCCCTCCCAGGCACACCCCCAGCTCCTACCCCAGCCCCAGTGCCCGCTCACAAGTGTGGCTCCAGGCCTGTTTCCCTGGTGTGACAAAAGGGACAGCTTTGCCCAGCTGCCAGGGCCTGCCCCTGTCGAGGCTACCATGATGGGAGTGAATGAGGTGGGGGAAATGCGGGAGCTCTTCCACGGGTGAACTATCCCGACAGCCCCCTGAAAGAGCACAGGCCCGTCACACCACCCTATACCCCAGCACCTCCCTCGCCCGCAGCCGAGCGGGTTCTGTCCAGAGCCAAACTGGTCTGGGAGCTGCACGACCTGGGAAAGCCTGGATGGGGACTGGCTCAGCTCAGCACCCAGCAGCCGGAAAGGCCTCAGCCCCAGGGGAAGGAAGCAATCCTGCCTAATGCCCGGGGAAGCCTGTGGGAACCTAGCAGGGACGCCAACCAGAGCAGAAGGGCTATGGGGACTGTTGGGGAACAGGCAGGTTATCCCACAAAAGGAGAGGGACAGGCCCTGCCTGCAGGCAGGCACTCCTGGCCTGATGAAGCTGCAGGATGAGGCTAGCACTGGAGGCGACATGCCAGGAAGGAACCAGCTGAGCACGGGGCTGGTGCCATCCGCGATGAGGACGAGGTGTTGGGGCGGGAGCAGGGCTGGGCCCCGACGGTGCCCAGGGAGAGAGGAATCTTGCAGCTGCAAGGCCTGATGCTGCTCCCTGCCAGATGCTGCTCCAGCTCCTCCACTACGGGGCAGGAGCAACAGCCTGATCCTGCAGGACATTACACCAGTCCCAAGCTGCCTGGCAGGCTAGGGCAGAGGACGACCCTGGGGGCCAAACCCACCCCTGGGGCAGCCGATGGCTGCAGGGCACTGCCATGCCAAACCCCCGCGCTGCCTGCAATCCTCCCCTGCAACTGGAGAGGAGACACATCCCCCAGGTGCTGGGGGCACCTGGGAGCAGATTTCTGCGCTCATATTGCTCCGGGCCCCTTGGCCTCACAGCTCTGGCCACTATGGGTTTTTCAGAGCAGACCCAGCTTGCCAAGCCCCAACAGAGACACTGGAGAAAGGTTGGATACCCTGGCAGCTGCCTCCCAGGGGGCATCACCACAGTGCAGCAACCCAGGCATGGACATGCCCTCCAGGTCCCCCCACGAGGGTCAGAGTCCCCTGTGGCTTGTTCCCCATGTCCAGGTGAAGGCATTAACTAGAAACCAATATTTCTGCACCAGCATCAATGGGCAGTAGGGGCATTACCACGAGGGCTAACGCAAGGCTGTGCCCCAGCGGGAGAGGCCACATAGGGCAGAGTCCCAGGGCCTGAAGTGCTGGGGAGGGCAAAGCTGCTGCGTGCCAGGTACGAAGGTGTTTTCAGACCAGCTGAGTTGGAGGCAGCTGGAAAAAAAATCATGGGAATCCTAAGTTTAATGCCTGCAAACTCTCCAGGGACTGTCCCCCCCCCGCTCCAAGGGTGCTTTACATCTGGGGGAGACCTGCTGCCCAGAACTGCTTGGCTTGGCTGCTCCGCCCCAGCAGGCACCAGGCCCCCCAGCACTGGGGCGTGTGGATGGACTGGAGCAGTCCCGTCTCTGTGGTGGCCCTGGCTAAGGGCTGCAGGCTCCTCCGGTTCCCCCGAGTCTGGCGCTGGCCAATGGCAGCAGGCAACAACCAGCAGGCCCAATGCCAGGTTCTCCCTGGAAGGCTGGGTCTGCATGAGAGCTCCTGGAGTTGGCTCCACAGCCCCTGCGCTGAGCCCAGAGCGACAGTCAGCACCTTTCACAGGAGCAGTACAACAATCTCCTGCCCCGCCAGGGGCAGCTGCGGGCAATCACCAAGACCTGGTCTCAGGCATCCTCCCCCCAGCACGAAGCAGGGCTCCCTGAGCTTCAACCCATCACACACTGGTCCCAAATCTCGCAAGCTGGGGGGATGCGCATGTTGTAACGCCACTGTCTGCCACCCAGGACGCAGCCTTCCACTGAGCGGAGCAGGGCTTGGTCATGTCGCAGGATGACAGCTGCGACTACCAGGCAGAGAGCAGCCTCTGAGCCTCCTGCTCCAGCTCCCGGTGCTGGGTGCGGAGAGCCTGCTGCAGGGCCAGGCTGCCTGCCGCCAAGAGGTAGCAGACAGCATCTTCCTCCGCAAGCAGGGGCAGCCCGTCCAGCCCTGCCCCAGACAGCAGGCCAGCAGCGCCCAGCGCCAGGCTGCCCAGCATCCCGCAAGCATTGGTGGTGAACACGGAGAGGATGAGGATGGTGATGGCAGTCACCAAGGCAACGGACCGGGCCACCACGGTCCTGCCCTCCTCGGTGAGGTAGCCAGAGCCGGCGGCCAGCAGCAGTGCCCCGCCCAAGAGCAGGTTGGCCGTGGAGTGGTCGCCGTTCAGCCAGTGGAAGCCGAAGGCCACGAGAGGGAGGCCAACCACCGTGGAGACCCAGGAGTTGGGTGGGGAGTCCGCCTCCAAGCTAAGCCCCAGGGACGGCCAGAGGGCACCAGCTGCTCCCAGCAGCGCTGCCAGCGCCTGGAGGAGAAACCCAGCCGCAGCTCCACGGTTCACCTGTGGGCACATGGAGGAGAAGGCTCAGAAGCATGCCATGGTGATGGGGAAGAGACAGCTCCGGGTGAAGCAGGGGGGCTCCATCCCGTGGACTGCAGCATGGAGGCAGTGCAGGTGCCAGCCCTCCCAGACACCTCCCCAGCCCTCTAAAAATGCCAGCCAGAGCAGGTTCGAGCCCAGGCATCTGCCTCTGTCCCAAGCACCAGCTGTGCTGCTGGCAGTGCTGCCCCACGCACCGTGCCGCCACCTCTTTTCCCACACTTATAAACAGGCCTTTTATTTGCAGCAGCTGCTGCCAAGGGATCAATCAGGGGGCCTCGGCTTCAGGGAGCCCTGCGATCCCTGGCAAAGGACCACTCTGAATGCAATATGGGACCACCAGATGGGACCGGGGCCAGCTGCAATCAGGGGGCCTCGGCTTCAGGGAGCCCTGCGATCCCTGGCAAAGGACCACTCTGAATGCAATATGGGGCCACGGCCAGCTGGACAGTGGACCTGGGCCAGCTGCTTTTGTGCTGGCAATGCTTCTTTAATGCGGCTAGGAACAGCTGACAGGGTCGTTCCAGAGCAAATAAACCCCAAACTGTCTGCGTGTGCCCGGGGGACTGCTCTCACCTCACTAGTCCGTACAGCCGAGCTCAGAGAGACCACACACAGGACGGCGTTGGAAAGAACGGAGCTCCACTCGCTGGGCTTGCCAGCCATCGAGGCACGGGATGGACAGACCCTGCAAAGCAGAGGTGGTGGCTTGGGGGTGTTCTCTAGCCCAAGGGGGTCCCAGCACTCTCCAGGGTTTCCTGAGCCAGGCTGAACCTGCGTGCACAGCTCCCGGGCACCGGATCTCACGTGTCAGGGTCCAAAGTCCAACACAGGGAAAACTCCCTGCTACCAGCCTATGACTCTGGTAACTTGGAAGCAGCTGCAGCGGGCTGCCCCCAGATCCCAGGCAACATGGACTATCCACCTCTCCCCTACCCCGGCCCAGATTGATTCCTCAGGGCCTGGAACTGGTGGCATCTCAGGGAAGCACCTTGACAGGCACAGCCGGCAGAGGGGCGCTCCCCAGACCAGCAGTGTCTCCAGGAGAGCACTCGTACCCCCAACGGGTCTGGCCGGTAGGACATAGATCTCAGGCCCCAAACTGCACGAGCCACGTTGCCAGCACCTCATAGCGCAGTGCACCCAGCAGGCTCAGCGCACAGGACTGTGGCGGAGGCTTGGAACAACTGCAGGGAGGTGCGTGCGCCTGCTCCTTGGGCTCTACAGACAGAGCCTGTAGCAGCCTCCCCCACCCCATCCCAGAGCATCACTCACCCTGATGCAGGGCTGGGCTCTCTTCACACCTCACTGGTGGGTGCTTCCCCTTAAGAATAGCTGTGTGTTGAGTCAAGCACAGTGGAAAAAGCTGCTTTAGGCACAACTTGCTAATGCCACCAATTCACCTCACCAGCCAGCACCCGACCCTGGGGCTGGCAGGAGCGTCCGGACAACAGGATGTTACAGTGCAGCAGATCTGTCTGGAGCTCACACGATGCCATCCGCAGATTTTTATCACGCTGTGGTTGCCTTGTTCTGCAAAAGAAACCGTTCAAGAGGACAGCTCTGAGCAGAGGCTGCGGGGGCCACTGCCTGAGGAGATTAAGAACACAAGAACTGCTTTTCCTGGGCCAGACCCTAGGTCCATCTTGCCCGGTCTCCTCTCACGCAGCAGTCATTAATCGCCCCTAGTACTAACAGGGGTTTATAGTTTCCTTGGTGGGTCTGGGACCATGAAATCCCCTGATGTGTTCAAAGTCCCATCACATAGCAACAAAGAGCGGAGGCTGGAAAGGAGAGTGACCTGGGGATGACCAGGGTTTTCTGCTAGAATCATAGAAAACGAGGGCTGAAGGGAGCTCAGGAGGTCACATCTAGTCCAACCCCTGCTCCAAGCAGGACCAGCCCCAACTACATCATCCCAGCCAGGGCTTTGTCCAGACTAGTCTTCAAAATCTCCAAGGATGGAGACTGCACCACCTCTCTGGGTAACCTGTCCCAGTGCTTTATTACCCTCCTGGTGAGAGTTTTTCCTAATATCCAACCTCAACTCCCCTTGCTGCAGCTTGAGCCCATTGCTCCTTGTCCTGTATCTGCCCCCACTGAGACCAGCCCAGCTCTGTCCTCTCTGGATGCACCCGGCAGGGAGGTGTAGGCTGCTATTCAATCAACCCTCAGTAAATAAATCCCCCGACTTTCTTTTCATCACTGAGTATTTTGTAAACCCGTTTCACGTCTCCCCTCAAGGGTCTCTTTTCCTAAGCTGAATAGGCCTGACCTGTTTAGAGCAGGTCCAAGTAGATCAGATGGGTGCTGCAAAGGAGAGAGTGGAGTTGCAGAGCCGCGGGGCTGGCAGGGACGCGAGAAGGTCCCAGCTAGCCCAGCCCCAGCTCAAGGAAGGGCCAGCCCGTCCGAACCGTCCCAGACCGGCGTGCATCCAGCTCTGCAGTGGAGATCCCACAACGTCACCTCCGCAATCGCTCCAGGGATTAAATCTCCGACGGGCGGCACAGGGTCTTGCCGGTTGGTCCTCCTGGCAGCAGACAACCCTCCCGTCCCGTCCCGTCCCCTGAGGACACAACGCACACGTCCACCCTGACGCCGCCTGCAGTGCCGCAGCTGCGGGCCCCCGATGACCCAGGCGGGAAGGACCCCCGAGGGCGTCTAGCGTGACCCCGGCCTGAGGCTGGACCAGCCCTGTCCAAACCACCCCGACAACCCCGCCCTCCTCTCCTCTCCTCTCCTCTGAACGCACGTCCTCCACGGGGACGAGGCGCGCGGCATCACCCC